CTGTTGCTGTTTCTCTGGTAACCTCTGAATTCAGAATCAAGTAAATACATTATTCAGAGAAACAAAATACAAATGACTGTACCTACTGATGCCCTGGGTGATATCTGCTTCTGGTCTAGCTCCAACTGACTGAGCTGTTAGTCTGCCTCCTGAAGTGTGTGTCCTGCCCTACAGAAGTCCGCAGAGACTGTGACAGTCCCAGACCAGATGAAGCAAGTTGGGCCAGCTCTGTAAGAGTACAGGCATAGGATGCCCTGGGCCTGCACTTCCTTCCTCTGCCTATAGGTGGTGATAAATAGCTGGTTTCTCTGGATGGCAGCACCCTGTCGAGACTGGAGGGCACAAGCCAAGAAACAGGCAGGCACAAGCGAGTAACATAAAATAGAAACAAACTTTATTTCTCTGGAAGAAGCAGATATCCATAGCTGGGGCAGCAACTCTGGCAACAGACGCTGATGGGAACACATCAAATAGCAACAAGGGAAGGACAGGGGTCCAACAGGGAAGCACTGGTGCCGCTGCAGTCTCCTTCCACACCCGGGCCTTGGGCCCTGGTCCCTGCCAGAGAAGGTCCTGGCGCCATTTCTGTTTCTGAGACACTTCAGGCTGTTTACAGGTACAAGATCCTAAGACCATCCAAGCCCCCAAGTTCACAGTGAAGTCACAGGTCACATCCTGTCCAACACTCCACATTCCTACAGGGGTTCCCTGGAAAGGGGCCTAGCCCCAAGGAGGGCCTGCTGGGTGCTGGCCCACCTTCTGTGTGGCCAACACATGCTTCTTGTCCAAGTCAAGCCAGGTTTCCTCTCAGTCTAACCCCCAGGGGAAAGCCTGGGGGCACGGTCTAGCCACTAGCCCAGTCTTGATCAGGAGCCAGAGGCAGGTCACCCCCGGGGCCTGCCAGGCAGCTTCCCGTCCTGCCTTCACAAGGCTCGGAACTTCCCACCTCTTGGTTGGGGCACTGAGGGCTGAACCAAGGTGTGCAGAACAGCTGGGTGGGTGAGCGAGGCGGGCAAGGTGAGGCTCCCAGCCTCCTGCTGCCTGGATCTCACTGTCCACCGGGAGCTGCAGGCAGTTGTGGGTCCTCTAGGCCTGAGGCAGGGTGTCTCCCCACCCCTGTCCCACAGACAGGTTCAAGAGGTTCTTTTAGGGCAGACCATTGCTCTCCAGCCAACCATCAGCGTCTGAAAGACAGGAAATAACCAAACAGTTCATCCATCAACATGAGCTGGCTGAACAGCTAATGGGAAACCCAAGGTCACCTAGGGAGTCACTGCCTTTAGGGACCATGCAATGTATTTTTAAAAAGTTTTAGGCAATAACTTTAGAACTTATTCTAAAGTATCTTTTTTGATACACTATGACTTAACAGTACTACCGTGTGCTGGAGTATCTAAGGACAACAGGAAGCTTCTCAGGATACAAATTAGGGACAAGCACCAGCAGACACTACAGCTTAGCAAAGGGTGTCAGTGCATGCTGAAGGCCACAGCCCTCTCCCACTGTGTTTCTGATCACTTCTGATGAGTGTACGTGCTTGCACCATGAACGCAGCACAGACTGGCAGACCCCACTGGGTCCCTGCCTCCCAGCACCCAGCCATGCTTGCTTCCTGAGAGGATACTGACCTCACCCCCTGCCTATTTCTCCACTTTTGGGCTTGATAAATGTTTCAATTAATATTAATCTGTATGCTTTATTTTGTAAGTGTGCACATACATAAACTTTTAGTAAAGGTGTAATGAGATTATTTTGGATGTTTATTCCTTCAAAAAGCATTAATACTAACATATATAAAGGTGTGGGGATGAGTGTGAGCAATCGTGTTTGAATCCAGGCATGTGTGTGCACAGAAGTATGCAGAGATCACAGAAGCCTGGCCTTTCTTCTTGAGACCAGGCCTGTTGGTTTTCTGCTACTGTATGCCAGAGTAGCTGCCCTTAAACCTGTCCTTGCCTCCCATCTCTCCCGCAAGAGCGGTGGGATTACAAAGGCTCGAGCTATGGAACCAGCTTTGACATGGGTTGTGGGGATTCAAACTCACGCTCTCCTGTTCCTATCTCATGCTTAAGGACTAAGATGTTGCTCCATGAAGCACTTGGCAGCTGGAGAGGAGCTAGGGGTGCTGGCCGGCCTCCCTCACCCAAGGGCCCCAGCTGCCTCTTTCATTAATGAGAAAACCCAAGTCTATAGGAGGGTTCTTTTCCAGCCAACCACCTGCCTCTGGAGCCCTATACCTGCCCTCTCTCCTACCATCTGAGGACTCCCTGGCTACATGTGGCCTTTCAGAGATAAGTAGGCTTTTCCCACAGTGGAAACAGCCCTCCTGGGAGAGGGTGGTGGGGCAGTGTGTAATTCACTCACTTGTGGTGAGCAGGGCCACAGGAACCCAGAAGGTGACAGCCGGCTTGCTCTAGGTTCCAGTCAAACATCTCTAGTACTTTGTGGCACTCCATCCGTGGCCGAAGACCCAGCCCAAAGAGCTGCTCTACCTGAGGGCAGAGGGCGATGTTGCATTAGACACACTGGAGCCACGGGTACCAGAATAGCACAGGGCACAGGACATAGAGCCAGAGGGTAGGGTCAGGTACAGCAGAACCAGCTCGCAGGGCCCCTGAATGCCAGGGCAGGCAGGAAGTGATGGTACCTTCAGATACTGGGCAGCCCTCTGAACACTCCAGCTGTGGCTCTGCAGGGCCGCCTGGCACTCCTCTGTGGTCACCCCATGCACCATGGCCTGCAGCTGGGCATACCCACCCATCAGCACCACTTGGACCCATTCTTCTGGGTCCCTCAGACCCCTGCCCTTCACCTTGAAGTGGCCCTGGCACTCACCATCTGGACCTTGTCTGCTGGCCGAGCAGCCTCTTGCCCATCCCCTGGGCAGCCCCTCTGTGGCAGCCGAGCAGTGGCCCTCAGGGATGGTGGCCGCACCCCTGGGTTGCTGTTATTGGCGGAGAAGTTGGCCTTTGGGTCTGGGGCAGCCTGAGGCATAGGTCGGACGGTGGCAGTGGGGGCGGCAGGGGCTGGAGTACTGGGCGGGGGCAGCAGCGGGGGCACAGGCAGGG